CTACATACATTAAAATCTCTTTAAAGTTGCAAGCTCCATATTAAATATAATTAAAAATTGACATTCTAATTAAGTGAATAAAATGAAACTGTTTGACCAAGAAAAGTTAATTTTGCAAATCAATTTGCAAATTAAGTAGTACAAATTTAGATAATTAAATCATACATCAGTCCGATTACAGGCTTCCTATGAACTAGCAAAGGCGGTGAAAGTGTGAAAGCACTAGTCAAAGTAATGGTTTAAATGTAAATTTAAATAATGAAATCATACTTCGGTCCAGTACCAGTTCTGATATTATGAGAACCGGTCATGGCATTGTTGAGAACCGGTATGGTCTGGTTGAGGACAAAAAAAATCGAGTTCTGTTTCAAACCCCGTTTTTCGATCCAATACCATGTCGGTTCGGTATTTTTGCCCATGCCTACTTTTGACAAAGCCCAACAAGGAATTGTGGACTCTAAGTATGTCACGCCTCAGACCGCATCTAAACGCGTGTAAAATCGTCGTATGACCAAGTAACGTCACTCGCAAGTCAACGTGACTTAATCATACAAAGCGCCCATGAACATAGTCCATACCATTCCTCAGTAAATAAACATACATAACAATATCACAGTTTAGATTAAATGAATGACGGAAATATTCAATAATCAATCATGGGCCACACATGGCCAAAACGTGGGCACGTAGGCCCAAAACAATGTATACATTACATTAAATATCCATGAGCATAGTTTGAAGTTTAAAACAACAATGGAAGCACAAACCGCGTCTTCGTTTAGATCACTCCGCCGAACAAGATGCGGATAACAAGCTTTAGCTTCAACCTGAAATGGTGCCCCCCCCCCCCCCCCCCCAAAAGGGTCAGTACGCGAATACCGAGCGAGTAGCAAGCTAAATGTAGAATAACTAACGTTTCAAGTATAAGACCCAAACATAGGGTGATACATACACGTATAGTATTCTACCCCATGTTATGAAATACTTATCAGTATATATACACTTGGAAATACCCGACCCGTAGGTCATTGTTTATTCGGAAAAATCATAGTAGTCAATATCCTTGACTTAAATCCCAACCCACCCATATCCTATGAGCCTATAGGACTCCTCCTAGTCCAAATCAGTTTATACATACAAGTTTGATGACAGTACCATCATCCTTGGATTCTCTACCATTTATACATATGAGTTTTGAGGACAGTGTCGTCGCCCTTGGGTTCTCAACCATTATATATACCAAGTTTTGAGGACAGTACTATCGTCCCTGGGTCTCCACTGTTTATACATTTGAGGTTTGAGGACAGTCCCGTCGTCCTGGGTCTCCACAGTTTATACATTTGAGGTTTGAGGACAGTATCGTCATCCATGGGTCTCCACCGTAAATACATTTGAGGTTTGAGGACAGTACCGTTGTCCATGGGTCTCCACCGTTTATACATTTGAGGTTTGAGGACAATACCGTCGTCCTTGGGTCTCCACCATTTATATACCGAGATTTGAGGACAGTACCGTCGCCCTTGGGTCTCCACCATTTTACATTCATTCATATGATCTACCACATATCATACATAGATAGGGTCTACATCATAATCATTTATCAAGACTAAACCAAGTCTTATAGCCTAAGCATAACAATTCATGCAAAACCATGCACGTAAATCAACATTTGGGACAAAACAGCACCAAACCGGTGCCGGTTCAGCCATAACTGGCGCCGGTTCACATTTAAATTAATTTATTTTGATGCCTTGTACTCAAACCGACGCCGGTCCACTTTCTTCTTTGCGGTCAATGGTCCGTTGACCGCCTGAACTGACTCTGATTGATCCGAAACTTAATCCAAACATGTATTAAGTCTTAAACAATCAATATTTGCCATTTTGGCCATCCAAAACATCATATATGTTTTTATATCATTTTCATATCATTTTTCATGCATACTCATTATGGTTCATCTCATATAAGCCTAGTCATCTTGGCTAATAACATGTTTAAACCATTTTAAACATCATTATTAACACATATAACATTTACTTAGGTATTATCATACTTAACCCCAGAGTTACAAGACATTAAGCCATCCACTCAGCTCGAATGAGTTTTATGAAATTTTACCCTTCTCGGTTGAACTTTAGTGAAACTCCAGCGAACTTTGATGAACTCCGGCGATAATTCTGGCGACTCTTTCAATTCCGTGAAAGTAGTAGGAACACCTTAGAAAAGTTCCTAACAAGATTTTATAATCACAAAACCCATATCAATACAAATAACCTCTAAAAGGTTATTTTCCGATGAACCGGTCACTTTGGCTTCTAAGTCCGTTCTTGGACTTAGAACTATCTTCCAACCCCTCATTCTACACTTCTAAACATGTAGAAAAATCCTAGGGGTCCTCCATATGATATATAAGTCATAAGGTAGTTAGAGAAATAAAGAAAAAGTTGTTATAAGGTCATTACCTTAATCACCACACTTTTTCCTCCCTTTTTCTTCCTTAAACCTTCTTCTTGGACCTCCTCGAGCTTGAGCTCGAATTTGCAGATATGGAGATGAAAGTTGCAGAGCTCTTCTCTCCTCTCTTGTGCACTTGGTCGAAATTATGAGTGTAAGTGGTAGGGATGTTTCCTTCTTTGTCTTACTTAGCTTGACAATAATGAGAGGGAGTGAGGTCCACTCCTCATTTGATACCAATCCTTTCAACATCAATCCACCCCTCTACATGTTGCGAGGTCACTTTATGTCTATTTTGGGACTCAAAAACGCGGGGTGGCCCCCACTCATGTGTGAGGTCATTCTATTATGTCCCGATGTGTACAATCGGCCCCGAAAGTTGTATTTCTCGGACTACTTTAATTATATTTTATTTTATCGGACCAAATAAAATATATTATATGTTCCAAATCACTATAGGACTTTAGAATGAATATACATTCCCCAACATTAATTTAGAAGTGTCCGAAATTCATTTTGGACCGTTATCTGATAAATTACTAGTACCCCGGTAATTGGGCCTCATTTGACCAACCGGTCAACCCCATTCCTTTTCCATGGCTCAACTAGAATATCCACCACCATATACATATAATCTAGACCAAGATGAATATAATATGTGGTCTCGGGATTATCGGGTGGTCCCCGCTCCCAATGCGGGCCCCACGTGCAATTCACTATCCACGCAAAAGTAATAACAAAATTTTACAACCTCGTAAATTCATTAACCATTTCATAAGGTTCAATACATGATTTACATAAAAGTAAATATAATTGGGAACGGTGTTACAAAGTATGTTCGGCCATGCATTTTCTTTTTTCCTTTTTATTTAGTTTTCCTTTCTTGTTTCATTCTATTCTTTTACATTTGCATTGGAGTTGAATTAGAATAAACCTTACATTTCCCTAATTTTTTTTTACCTGATTTGGAATAACCCGATTCATTACTTTACCATCTCAGCATCAATGCACAACCGCATCGGTGATGCTCTTAGTGTAGCAAATTTGCAGTTTCTTCACATGATTATCCATATGAGATTGAAATTTCTTTGTGTGCCCGCTTGTCTAAATATATTTTTATGCAGATTTGTTTATTACGGAGTACTTATAAATTAACTTACAATAATAGAATGTAATGGAGGTTGATCAATCTAAGGGTATGTTTGATTAAAAGAATATCATATTACCATAGGAATGTTAGATTGCCAGGTATGTTAGATAGATGAGAATGTGATTAATGTATATATAACTCATTTGTGTTTGGTTACGATTAAGAGAATGTGACATTAAGTTGTTTGGTTGAATGATATCTTATATTGCATGTTTGGTGAATTACTTAAATTTGTCTTTTAACACATTAAACTTATTACAACCTATAATTAAAGTAATTAAAATTATTAAAACACCTGAGTAATAATTAAAATCAAAACTGATTGAATTAATTTTAAGCAAAGTATGTTCAATTACACAAATGACTAAGATTAGTGAACATTAGTAAATAATTTTAAGCAAAATATGTTTAATTGCACAAATGACAAAGATGAATGAACATTACTACATTAGTAGTAAAAAAGCAAGTGAATGTTGAAATTTACAAGTTACTCCGTACATATCACTAGCAAAAAGGTAATAATACATATGCACATAATCTATCACTCATGTTTGTATTTACTCCCTGGATTATCAAAATATACTAGCAAAACTAAAGTTTAGAGATATCATCATAAAAATATACTCATGTCATCCCCGGAGTATTATTTTAATATATTAACATAAAAATATGCGAATTATAAAATGTTGAATTTATGTGAAATCTAAATGTTCCAGGTCTTCTAAGATGGATCATTATCTCTACACGTGTCATCCCAAAAAACAACATGACCTCACACCAATCCACTATTCCTACCAACACATATAATCAAGAAAATTGATTGTAATACAATTATACGACTAAACTTAAGCAGCAACCGAAGCTTAAGCAGCAACGATGGGTCGCAGGTAGGCAGCGCATGGTTATGAAGAATGAAGGGAATAGCGAGTAGGATGGGTTTTTTAGGAATAAAATTAATAAGCAAATGAGAATATGAGATAACCTAAGGCAAATTGATTATATTAAGGCAAATTTGGAGTAAAAACATTTTGAAATTCCAAAACAGGATTGTCATGTTTTTATTGCCTAAATATGAGTAATTACTGTCAATTTTGGAATATACTACCATGTTTAAACTCTGGTATTGCCTAAACATGACAATAATTACTCATATTTTGGAAATAAAAACGCGATAGTCCTATTTTGGTATTTCAAAGCGTATTTACTCCTATTTTGCAAATACACCATTTTGGTGTGTGATTTGGTGGTCTGTTGGAGAAGTTCTTAACCCCTTCACATAACCTCCGTTAGAATTCAAATGACATGTACAAAAATAAGCATTGCTTAAATGGTAATATGGAAAAACATGTATTAACAATGAGTAAACCAAAACCATGGTGTACAATGAAACATTAGCCCGTCACCAATATAATGTCAATCAAGGCCTTTTTAATAGTATGGTGGCCTAGATCTAGAAATACCATATACATGTGCATAATCCCTTCATGCATGAAAATTCTTACAAAGAGGTCTATATTAGATTATCCTAGGACTATGCAATGTCCTAAAACTGTTTGGCAGTTGATCTTAATGGTTTTGCATGTATTGATCAATGTTGATTATCGGACACCCAAGTTAATCAATCCACAATTTCTCCACATTTCACTACTGTTTCATCATTTCAAAAATCTCTCTTTCATTCAAATGAACTTGAAATGGTATTTTCATTAATAGTATAAACGACATGGTCAATAAAGTTAAGCAGTATTTTCAAGGGCCTAGGCTATAGGTCATTGGAGGAGAAGGCACGGAACCCCCTAAAAAAGCTCTTGTGTTTTGTCATTCATCCCATTGATCTACGGTGAGTGATTAGTTACACGTACATGATTTTGTTTGTTCTATTACTCCATCCGTCCTACATCAAAACAGGATCAAACAGGATCAAACAGTGTAAAACAGTGTCGAAACAGTGCCAAACAGTGTCGAAACAGTGTTAAAACAGCAAAATTTACCTCCTGTCAAGTTTATTTCCTTAATATGTGTGTAGGTCAAACCGGGAACATTACAACGGAACGGAAGGAGTATTAATTTACCTTTCAGTTTTATGTAGACCCCAATTGATCTTTGGGTTTTCATCATTCTTGAACACTCAATAATTACAGTACTTCAAAGCTGATTGTTTTGTTTTTAAAATTTGTTTTTGGAATCAAAGAATCTGCAGTTGTGGCTACTGCCAGGCGGCTGCTGTTCTTGCAACCTGGAGATAGCAATATAGCAGATTGGGCTGTGGCTTCTTCCTCTGCTTCTCATTCCTCTGATGCAGCAGCCTTTGGGGACCTTTCTTTGGGTTTTAATGGCGCTCAAGATTCTGTCAGCGCCGCCGTTGACGGTGGCAGCGCGGCAGCCGCCCATGATGGGCAGTGGGGCTCCTCTGCCGCTAGGCAGATGCAGATCAACAATGGGCTATCGCCGGATATGGGTATGTTTGTGGTAGCGCCGGCAGCTACCTTCCTACACCACCACGGCGGGTTTAACGGTCAACCCCAACATTATCACAGCCAGAGCCCCTCCGGTTTCATCGGCTTCGATGGATCCGCCCCTGCTCTCGGCGTCGGAGTGGGTGTGATCCCTTTGGCTGCCGACGACTTGTTTGTGAACAGCTGCAACAGAGGCCGCGGTAATGGAGGTGGATTTCAGTTGTGGCATAACCAACAGGCCGTCGCTGCGGCGGCGGCGGCGGATGCGGCGGAGGGATATAACTCTCCAAGGGCTAGCGTTACGGATAATGAGTATACTAAGAAGGCAAACGAAGCTGGGGTTGAGCTGGAGCACACCCACGGAAGCAATTGCGTTGACCGTCAGGACTTTCCTCCGGTCCACGGCGGCGGGAATGGCATTGATTGTGTCGGGTTTTCATCATCTGCGGCGGCGGCCACTTGCCAGGACTGCGGAAATCAGGCAAAAAAGGACTGCATCCACCAGAGGTGCAGGACTTGTTGCAAGAATCGAGGATTGCCCTGTTCCACCCACGTGAAGAGCACGTGGGTTCCCGCAGCTCGCCGCCGCGAGCGCCACCTCTGTTCCAACTCCGCCGTGACGGCATCTTGCTCGCAGTCTGCTTCTTCTGGCGCCAAGAAACCCAGGCTTGTCCTCGGCAACCAATCCCAAACATCGCACACTTCAACGTCGAACAACACGGCTGCGACTGCCACCACGGGAGACAGCGGCAGCGGTTCTATGCCGAAGCAGGTCACAGCTCCGGCGGAGTTCCGGTGCGTTCGGGTGAGTCCCATGGACGGCGGAGAGGACGAAGAATACGCTTTCCAGGCGGTGGTGAGAATCGGTGGCCACGTATTCAAAGGGTTCCTTTACGACCAGGGGCTCGACCCGGGCGTCGTTGGCGCGAGCTCCGGGAAAGCCGCTAACCGCTCCGAACCATTCAACACCGCCTCGTCGCCACCCATAGTTGCAGCTTCATCAGAATCGCATGATATTTATGGAGGTGGCGCTGCCACCTCAGCGGAGGTCGGAATGTTGGGAATTGGAGGTTCTAACTTTGGTCTTGGAAACCTGTTTCAGTAGACTGAATTTTGGTCTGTTTATCTTATTTTGTGTTTTGATTTTAGCAGTTGTTCTGTTACTGATTAAAATCGCTCTTCAATGCCATTGTTTTTTACTTTTGACTTGTAAGTTTACTGGTTAGAACATCTTTAACACAAGTTTTTGAATAATTCTTAGGGTATACATATTTTATACACTTTTGGTTACATTCTCTAGTTGTCTTTAACAAGACAATTATTTGAACGAATTGGGTAGACAACTAACTAGAGATACACATAAAATGTGTACAAAATATGTGTACCAAATTCATTTGGGAAAGTTATTCGTGGTATTGACTTTTGGTTTTTCACGCGATTTGTTAAACTTGCTTCCCTGGTAAAGACTCCATTTAGATATCCTTAACGTTTTGATTTAACTTTAAATTTGACAGACATTAGTTTCGAGATTCCATTATTGGATGGGGCACATGATATGTTACTTGTGAAATTTACTTTCTTCGTCCCATTTTAATTGTCCTGTTTTTCTTTTTGATTTGTACCAAAATAAGTGTCTTCGATTCTTTTCCTTTTTGGAAAGAAATATGTGTCATACACCATTTCAATTCTAACTTTTACTTTTTTAACAACTTTATTAATAATCGTGTCAAGTCAAAGTGAGACACATCAAATGAGACAAAGGTAGTATGATTCTCCGAAAAAGATTAGTAAAACGGAAATATGAAACCCCGCACACCGGAAAGGTTGGACACGGATACATGTGTATTTGGTTTTGCTCTATAGAAGTTAAAATAAAATTTTGATGTCTTGATTGTTTACATATCTGCTTCTTAAAAGCTATACAGGATTACAATCAAGATTACTAAGTGTAAAAGAGTAGCTGTCTTGCAACAAGGACATGGAACACAACTAGAATTAATATGAAGATAACCGCAACCACTCGTGGTGTGTATTAATGTTCTCTTTGCTTTCTTCGTACTCTTCTCTTGATTAAGTTTCTCCAGTATTGTAGATCATCTATTTCACGTTTATGAGATCATTATTTAGGGCTCGTTTTATTCAAGTTTCGAAAAGGATTTCTATTAACAAATGAGGAATAATATAGGTGAAGATTTGATCAATTTCAATTTTGGTGGATCGGAGTTTGTTTTTCTCCCATCTTTTGGGACTAAGATTTGGATGTTGTTGTTGTTGTTGGAGTTTGTTTTTCTCCCATCTAGGTTGGTGAGGATAACTGAGAGTTGTTGAAATAAATCCATAAATACTTTGGTCTTCATATTGAAATTATCTAGAGAATTAACTGAGCGGAAGCGTACCTGACTCCATGGGAGATGGCCTTTAGAGATCCGGGAGACGGAGGCTAGGGTTTGTGTCTTCTAGTTGATACACACCCTCGGGAATTATCTCTCTAGCGATGGGATGCAGAAAGACTGAATGGCGTGTACAACTAGGGACCATAACCCCTTATTTATAGAGAGTGCTTAACCTTAATCAGCCCATCATTGATTAGGTCAAGCCCATGGGTCTCTACACATTTGGGCCCTATACCTTATTAGATAACTTATTAGCCCACTTAAATTAATATCCATAGGACCACTAATTTTTTGGGCCTAAATATAAGATAGCATATAACATACAATTAAACCCGATAAATAATATATTGTGAATATTACATGCAATATAAGTCCAATAATCTAACAATCTCCCACTTGGACGACATACACATGTATACACAATTCTCAGAATTGTATGTTTACTTTAGGAGCTCCAAAATTTTGCTATCAAACTGTAGTCATCTTTAATCAATCCGGTCCATTAATTATATCAACATAGGATCAAAGAAGTCTTTGCTATATTTGAATAACTAGACCCATCAATGATCACATATATTAATATAATATAGGTGTGTAGCGTGGAAATAACATAAAGTGTGGTCTGGAATAGAATGTCTATTTCCAACTGGTCCACCTTGAGATCAATAATATAACTGTAAGAGTACATAAAACTTTAAACTTAATTTCTGCAGAAAATAACCTTAAAAACTTGAATCAAGTCAATTAACCAAATATAGAAACATTACAAACTCCCACTAAAACTCATAATCCTCAACTGATTTGACACCCATTTGTGCAACATGCTCATGAAACACTTTGGGTGGTAATCCTTTAGTGAGCGGATCCGCAATCATGGAGTTTGTGCTAATGTGCTCTATAGATAACTTTCCTTCTTGTACTCGTTCCTTAACAGCCTTAAATTTGACCCCAATGTGTTTTGCCTTGGTCAAACTACTGTTGTTCTTAGCATAGAGGACTGCTGATCTATTGTCACACAATAGCTTAAGTGGTCTTTCAATGCTGTCCACTATGCGTAGTCCACTAACAAAATCTCGCAGCCATAGTGCCTGATTGGATGCCTCATAACATGCTATAAACTCTGCTTCCATGGTGGAAGTAGCTGTAAGAGTCTGCTTGATACTCCTCCAGGAGATAGCTCCTCCAGCTAGAATATAGATGTAGCCTGAAGTGGATCTCAAGCTATCTTGACATCCAGCAAAATCAGAGTCGGTATACCCAATGATCTCAAGCTGATCCGATCTCCGATATGTGAGCATATATTCCTTTGTTCTCTGTAAATACCGCATGACCCTTTTGGCTGCTTTCCAATGCTCCATTCCCGGATTGCTCAAATATCTGTCTAACATCCCAACAATGTATGCCAAATCAGGCCTTGTACAAACTTGGGCATACATCAAACTTCCTACAGCCGAAGCATAAGGAATGTTCCTCATTTCTTTAGATTCAAAACCATTCTTAGGGCACTGCATGAGACTAAACTTGTCTCCCTTAGAAACTGGGGTATCTCCTGGTTTGCAGTCTTGCATACCAAACCTTTTGAGAACCTTATCGATATAGCTCTTTTGTGAGAGTCCAAGAACGCCTTTGGAGCGATCTCGGTGAATTTGAATTCCTAATACAAAAGAAGCCTCACCAAGATCTTTCATTTCAAAATTCTTTGAAAGAAATCTCTTAGTTTCGTGTAATAAGCCTATATCGTTAGTAGCAAGCAGTATGTCATCAACATACAAGACCAAGAAAATATGCTTACTCCCACTGAACTTGTGGTATATACAATCATCACTGACATTTGGTTGAAAACCAAAAGATATAATGATTTTATGAAACTTGTGATACCACTGACGAGAAGCCTGTTTGAGCCCATAGATGGATTTCTTTAATTTGCAAACCATTTTCTTTGAATCCCCCGAAACAAAGTTTTCTGGTTGCTCCATATAGATTGATTCCTCAATGTCACCATTGAGAAACGCAGTTTTTACATCCATCTGATGAAGCTCAAGATCAAAATGTGCCACTAATGCCATTATTGTTCTAAAAGAGTCTTTCGAGGATACCGGAGAGAAAGTCTCTTTATAGTCAATTCCTTTCTTTTGAGTGTAGCCTTTAGCAACAAGACGAGCTGTAAACCTTGTAACATTGCCCTTTGAATCCCTCTTGATTTTAAATATCCATTTACAACCAATGGGTTTAATACCTTCAGGCAATGAGACTATCTCCCAAACGTCATTGTCACTCATAGACTTCATCTCATCTTTCATGGCATTAATCCATTCTTGAGAGTTAGAACTTTCCATGGCTTGACGGAAGTTGATTGGATCATCTTCCGCAAAACCAACATTTGATTCTTGTTCTTGGAGGAAGACAATTATTTCTTCCACCAATTCCCAATTTTCCTCATGTTCTAGGAGAAATACAATATAATCATCCGGAATTGCGCTTCTCCTCTCTCGAGTGGATCTCCTCAATGGCACCTCAGGTTCTTGAGGTTGTTGAGTTTGATCCTCATTAACAAATTCAGGTACTTGATTGGGGATGTTTTCGAGATTGTCATGAACTGGAGTTGTTTCTTGAACATCATTAGGAATAAACATATCTTGATCATGTTCAATGACAACTGAAGGAAGAGTAACATGTTCTTCCTCAAAGACAAAATCTCTAACCTTATCTCCCCACCCCCCAAACTCAATATCCTCAAAGAACCGGGCATTACCCGTCTCAAAAATAGTCCTGGTAGTGGGATCATAAAATTTATACCCCCTTGACCTCTCAGAGTATCCTACAAAATAGCTACTAATTGTTCTTGAGTCCAGTTTCTTTTCATTTGGCCTATAAGGCCTTGCCTCAGCTGGACAACCCCAAACATGGAAATGATTTATACTGGGTTTCTTTCCAGTCCAAATTTCATAAGGGGTTTTAGTTGTAGCTTTAGTGGGAACTCTGTTAAGTATGTAAGCTGCAGTTTTCAGTGCCTCTCCCCAGAGTGAATCGGGTAAAGTAGTATGACAAATCATACTCCTAACCATGTCCTTCAATGTACGGTTTCGTCTCTCAGCAACACCATTCATGCTAGGAGTTCCTGGCATGGTGTACTGAGGAACAATTCCACACTCCTCTAGGTATTTAGCAAATGGCCCTGGACGTTGTTCACCGGAACCATCATATCTACCATAGTATTCACCACCACGGTCAGATCTAACGGTTTTTATTCTTTTGCCTAATTGATTTTCAACTTCGGCCTTATAAGATTTGAACACGTCTATTGATTGGGACTTTTCATGAATGAGATAAAGGTAACCATAACGAGAGTAATCATCTATGAATGTGATAAAATATGTTTGGCCATTTCTACATGGTGTAGGGAATGGTCCACAAATGTCCGTATATATCAATTCTAATAGATCTGAAGCTCTCTCGGCACCTAACCTCCGTTTGTTCGTTTGTTTTCCCTTAACGCACTCAACACAAATATCAGAATTTGAGGAGTCAAGAGAATCAAGAATTCCATCTAACACAAGTCTCTGAATTCTTTCTTTAGAAATATGTCCTAGACGCTTGTGCCAAAGTGAAAATGAATTCTCATTGGTTAATTTTCTTTTAGTACCACGAGTACTTACATGCAAGGTTTCATTATATGAGGTATTTATATCAAGTGAATATAGATTATCATAAACTGATAAAAGACCAGTACCAATAAGTTTTGAATCTTGAAATAGACTGAACTGACTATTTCCAAATGAACAAGAATAACCAAATTTGTCCAATGCAGAAATAGAAATTAAATTCCGCCTAAATGACGGCACAACAAATGTCTCTTTCAAATCCAAATAAAAACCAGTCTTTAATAATAATCTAAAAACACC